TAAATAAAACTAGTATTAAGATATAATATATATAAATTTTATAATTTTTGATTGTATAATTAAGGATTTAAAAATTGCCAAAGTTGAAATTTATAATAAAAACATAGTAAATAGACTCAAACTTTTGAAAGCAACTATATGTATCAATAAGATGAAACAATAGAATGCTTGTAAAATGTCCAATCTATAAGAATCAACAACAAAAGTATGAAATAAAAAAATAAATAGAACTCTCAAAATTTTTAAAAAGTTTTTACAAGAAAGAAAAAAAGATATTAAGAAAAAAAGTAATAGACTAAATATTAATAATCAAAAAGAACTAGAAGAGTTTGACAAGTGAATTTCCAAACTAGTGGAATAGGTCTTTATAACTAGTTATAATACTCTAAGTTTTTGTGTTGACCTTATAAGAAAGAACCTTATTCTAGAAATGGTAGATTTAAAATATTATAGAAAATGCATAGGAAAAGAAATTAGAAAATATATAATAAAAATATAAAAAAGAGTTTGCAATCAAGTTTGAAAAAGAATTTGGAATACAAGATGAAAAGATTATAGAATGTAAACAAATCCAAAAGATTGGTAAAAAAGACAAGATAAAAGGATTCTCAATCTTTTCAAGTTAGAAACCATAATTTTAACAAGAAAAAAATCATTATTGAAAGAAGAAAAACTAAAGATAGATGCTTTTATAAAAGAAGTGAAGTATGGAATAAAGTGATTGAAATTCTAAACCTAGTTAAAATATCAAAGAGTGATTTGTAGTAGTTATCTAGTAATTAGAAGAGTTTTTATTTGAACTACTAATAGAATAATAAATTATTCCTGAAGTTGCACTTAAAGTTTAAAGAAATTTAAAATAAAAATAAGTGAGTTGGATAAAAATTTAATTTTAGCAAAATATTTAATAATGTAAAGTATATATATAATATTTAATAAAATATATATCTTTAGTCTGACTAAGGGCAAAAAAAAAATAAAAAACAAATCAAAATAAGGAATTAATAAATAACAATTAATACATATAAAAAGTTTTTTTATCTATATAACAAAAACAATACTATATAGCTTACTTTTATTATTTCTTTTATAATGTATACAATAAGCAAGACTAAGAAAATTTTATATATAGTAGATAAAAGAGAGAAAAAAATTATTAATACTATAATCTAATATATAAAAAAATATTATAAATAGAATAAGCTGTGAATTGCACAACAAATGACCAGACAAATACAAATTATTATTTAATATAAAAAAAAGTACCAGTTTTAGAAATCTTTATAATACTTGATAGTATTATTATAAGTATTCTAGAAATAGACAAGATATTATTCAATAAGAAATGAGTTTTAATCCAATATATAACTTATCTCTGGCAATTGAGAAAAAGAAAAAAAGAAGATTTATTTAAACAGTATATTGAAAGCAAATTTTTTTGATATAATTAAAAAAGAAAAAAATTCAAGTAATACAAAAACCTTTTATATCTAAATTATATAAGTGAAAAATGAATCAATATTGAACAATAAAATTATAATGCCTAATACTCAATAACAAGAAGAGATAGAAGAGGGAATAGAACTTGAAGTACTTAAAGAAAAGATTCAAGGTCACAATATAAATGAATGTAACTCATATAGTATAAGAAATAAAACTATAAATCATATTTCAAATATATACTATATAAGCAAAAAAGAACATTATAAACTATATATCTAGTTATACAAATTGATAAATATTATATAAATTGTGATATCCTATCTCTTATTATTTTCTGAAAATATTATAGCTATAAGAATAAGTGGAATAGAAGTCAAGAAACCAATCTACTTATAAAAGACATAACCACTTTTGTTATTTTAGAATCATTCCAGGATTTTTTTATTCTAATTTAAATAGTTTTTTCATTTTCGCATAATACAACAAGACTATCAAACTTATACTCTTTATTTAATATACTAGTATTAGTAACAGGCTATAATTATCAGGAATATAAAAAATATATATTTTTTCTTTTAAGGAATTAGCAGGTCAAGCAATGACAAGTTAGTTTAAAAAATCCAGAAGAATTGAAGATCCAAATAAGGGATATCTAGTTTTCTAGATAAGTAACAGTAGAAATTTAATTCAACTGAATACTTCTGGGCAACAAGCTGCCCAATAAATCTATAAAGATTGGTTTTAGGGAATAAATAATATATGAACCATAGCAGCAATTAAATTTGTACAGTATATTTCTTTATTAATAAATATGGCTGAGCCTCTGTTCCAAAAAAAAAAAAAATAAAATAATTATTTAGAATTGATTTTTCTTAAAAAAAAAAACAAACTTCAATATATCAAATACAACTATATTCATTACTTCTTTTTTATTTACGCATCAATATTTAACATGTTCTTAAATAGAATTTGGCCTCCAGAACCAATCAAACTGGATCAGGCTTTAGCATCCTACATTTTTACGAGTCAACGGTTTGGACATTATAATTTTTTATTATTCTAGATTGCTCTCGTGAGGTTATTTAATAAAACAATTTTAATTAATCAAATTTCTTTCTTGATAAAATTTCTTTACATTTACGAACACTTTATACAAAGAACAGTGCTGCATGGAATCCAAGTAAACCATAATGTAAGAATTGCCACTTTTATCTAGTCACATTCAATAAAACAAAACATCCATATTTGTACAAACTATTTTAATAAATATTAAGACTTAAACAGAAATTTAGCAGCAGCACTCACAATATCAAGCAAACCAACGTCATGACTTTTGCCTATCTTTCCCAACAAAATTTTCTCACGTTCTTCTGCAGCTCTTCTTTCTTCTTGCATCATTTTCTGTAATTGCATTTCTCTGTCTGCCGCAATTCGCATTTGTTGTTCTAACAATTTTTGTTGTCGATCTTCCGCTGTTCTTCGTTCTTCTTGCACCATGATCTGCAGGCGCTCCCTTTCGGCCGCAATTTCCATTTGGTGTTCTATTATTCTTTGTTGTCGTTCTTCCGCAGCTTCTTGTTCTTTTCGCATCACATTCTGCACGCGCTCGTCTCTTTCGGCCGCCATTTGCATTTGTTGTTCATACATTTTTTGTTGTTGCTCCATTATTTGTTTTTTCAATTCTTCATTTTGGACTCTTTGTTTTTCTACATTTTCGATCATATCATTCATTTTATGCTCTAATCTTTCATTTTGTTGTTTTCTTTCTAACGCGCTCTGTTCGATCTCGTTTTTCAACGATGCAACTCTCTCTTGAGCTTTAATATTTTCCTTTTGGATTTCTTCTAATTCACGGAGTGCTTTGGCTTGCTCTTCCTTCAATGTCCCAAGTTGAGTAAGCGTTTCTAGTGTTTGGTCATAATTTTTATCTAGAAAGTCGGTAAATGCGGCTCTGGCTTCCGGTGAAACTTTCATCTGGTTTTTATATTCCCTCTTAAACGCTTCTTCCGCCGCATCAAATTCATTCTTGTCCTTATAATAATAAACAATGTCCTATTTACAATTGATATTCACAAATAAATAAAGAATAGAAAAATTTACCTTGAATAAATTTTCTCTATTTAGCCTACTCTTGATATGGGTTTTCCAAAGACGAGTCGCCAACTCTAGGTTATGAGCATAAAGTGCTTCGGAATTTTTCTTGACATATATTTCTCGAACTTTTCCGATTTTAACATTCAAATTTTCGGTAAATTCAATAATCTGCTTTGATGAACCGATGACCTTACTAAAGAATTCTTCTTGAGCTTGGTCCAAGTAATTATTATGAATTTTATTAAATTCATCCCACAATTTTGGTATATTTTCTTCCGTTATATAACCATTCATCCCTGCTTCATAAATTTTAATACTTTTCTCAGTGGCTTGGACTGACATATATTGAATGACAGTCTCATATTCGGATGGGATCGATAGTTGTTGAGAATTTTGGGGATCGTTCATTTTTTCGATACAATCCACAAGAAATTTTCCAAGTGACATTCCGGTCATGGTAGATGAACCAATGTATTTAGGATTAATATTAGAATAGATAGATTGTACTACTTTTGTTACCTCCTCGACAAATTCCTCGTCTAAATTTTCTGTTGCAACCTTATCGAGGTTCTTTAATTGAGAGCGACTGCATCCGGGGGGCTATTATTAATGTTAGTTTTCGAATTTTCAACGAATGAATACCATATATTATGGAAATCGTAACTTGCCGGTAGGCTTTATTTATTAAATAATATTAGTTAAAGTTATTTCTTTTTTTATTTTAAATATGTACTTGAAAAAACTAATTACCCGAATACATCAAAATCCTCAAAATATCCATTTATTGCTTTAGCGACTATTATGGGATTAGTTGCAGAATAAAAAATAGAAGTCACAATATTAGTGTTAGATGCATTAATAATTTAAATATAATATATCTGGACAGTTACTTTCTTCATCAACATTGTTTAATTTTTCAAAAAAATATGCCTTGAAGTCCTCAGGTTCATCCAGATGAAAATCTCTTAATACGACTACTAGTCTAGGCAAGAAATCGCAATCTGTTAGTGGTTGGATAAATTTACTCAAGTCTGTCATCAGATAAAGTTTCCCAATATCATCTCTTCCAACAATTCCATTTATGTTGTAAATAAAAGTTGAGGATACAATTAAACAGATAATAAAAAGTTTAACAGCCCAGGCTTGATCTTGCTTAGGATCGTCTATTCCTTCACAATCAAGTACTATTACACGCTTTCCTTCGTGAATAAAAGGAGTATCCCACATGTATATTCCGCGCGTACAACCTTCGACCTTAGAGCCGAGTTCAAACCCATCATGACGTCCGTGAAGGACATTGGCAAACCATGATTTACCGCGTCGATAGGATCCCACTTAAAATAGATATTATAAATATACGTGTATTTAACTTTATGATGTTTAACAATTAACGGTACTCACCGACTGCTATAATCGCTACCGGTTCATTAATATCATTAATTATCTTAAGAGCGGCGTCATTAATTATAATTTTTCCAAAACTATCATTTCTAGAACTCTTATATTCTAATAATTGAATAGGTTTTCCTGGGCGGTATGAAATTCCATTTCCATATTCGTTTCCCTTATCTAGCTCTGTATTATATTCAGAGAGCGATTTTTTGTTGCTCTTGGATGAAGACATATTTACGGTTTTATTGTTTAAAGAATTTAGTTCAAATTTATAGATTTTATCAAAATGCAATGCGCTATTTTTAGTTTGTCATTCAATATTACGTATATGTAGTACGTAAGTTTTGTTTATTACTAAGAATCTATTAGTTACAGTACTAATCAGATAAAATAACGATTTTGATTGTTCTAGATTGTTATTGTTTCTAAAAATGTTATATCGAAAGGACATAGAACAGGATTTTAAACTGGTTGGCCTAAATCTTTGCGGAAATAAAGGTGCATAAATAATGGCATGCATAGTTTAACCTATACTTTTGTTATATACAGCATAATAGCCTTGTGCCTTAATTATTTCACGAATCCAATTGTTAATTAAAATATGTTTTTAGAACTTAACTTAGTCTAACAGCCGCTGGTTGAATCGGAATTCTGACCAAAAAGGTTACTTTATTAGACTATTGTTTATATATATGTATACATTATACTAAAAATTGTTTACTATTTAACATATCTGTTTTGTCTACCTTGACTCCAGATATAACTTAGAAAATAATTTAAAGCTTTATACTTAATTTATGTAAATATTCTTTCAACAAATATAATAGATTAATGCCTATATATCATTATTACAGATTTTTTATTAAATAAGAATAAAGAATAAAATCTATTTATTTATTTTCATATTTAATTAATTGTTTTTTTTTAATTTATTATTAAGTTAATACAACCTGTCTTTTATTTTATGATATATTAATTTGTATAACTTTATAAAATAACTAACCTATTATTAAAGTTCATTTTCTTTATATACAATTTAGGAGATGATATTTATTTCTTTAATAATTTAGATTATTATTTATCTATTAAGTTTCTTGTTTATAGTTTATTATTGTATATTTTTTAAATTTCTATCTAATAAATTAAAAGCATAATTGTTCAATATTTTTTGTAATTTATTTAACAATAATCTTTTTATATATTTTTTTTTTTTGCTATTAGGCTATAATATTTCTTTTAAAAAATTTTTTTTCTTATAAAGAGAGAGATATTTTTAAATTGTATTATTTTTACTTTTTTTTTTTTTTTTTTTTTTAACTTGTAATTATGTCAAAACAGCTTGTCTTTATTAAGATACTTAAAAAAATATCAAAATAATTCACAGACCTTCTCACATAATGACTAGTTTGTCTTTGTATATTATTGGTTAAAGGATTACACTACTTAAAAAATATGAGAAGTCTACTAAGCTAGTTCGAACTAAACAAAACCAAGTCTCAACTAGATACTCTAAGTCAAATTTAAGGAACAATATTACACTTTTCTGGTTACTTGGCATAGTACCTCTAAGTCAATTAGAATTATTGTCAACAGTTTATCATTGTTGATTATCCCTAAAAATAATAAATTTTGAAGTTGAACTAGGAAAGGGAAAAAATGAAAAATAATTCAAAGCCCTTCAAAAGATTTTTTTCCATTTCACAGCCTCTTCTCAAAAGGAGTCTTGCCTAATTAGGATATTCTTCTTTACTTTATTTGGACCTCAGAAGAAATTTTCTTTGTCACTATATACAGCATCGAATAAGTTTTCATTTAAGTATGTACTGGATTAAAATAGTTTAAGATAAACTAAAAACTATCAGCTTCTACTTTAGGAAGTCTTTTTACTACTTGAGAAACATAAAGAAGAAATAGAATTTTTTTGTGCAGATCCATCTCATCTTTTGATGTCATAACTGTTTCTTGGAATCAAATATACGTAGTTGGAGAAAAACTTTTTTTAAAACTTTCTTTCTTATATTACTTATAATATAATAAGAACACATAGGTATAATTAATAGGAGCTTGTTTACTTTTTCTAAAACTAATATATTTTGTGTCAGTTAATCATCTTTGGTTAGGAGTTATACTATCCCAAATTCAGGATCAAACTGAGATAGGCAAAATTCTTCAGAAAACCATAAAAATGATAGTTTTAAAAGGCCCAACAGTAACTACTGTAAGAGGAAAAATAAATCTTTCTGTTATCAAAAACCTCTATATATCTTTTGCTTCAATGGTGGAGAAGGCCTTCATGTACTTTACTATTGGTTCTTTTTTTTTTTTTGAAAACTTTCTTATCATTAGTATCCAAGATGTAACTTGACTTGTTCTTGATCACTAGAAGTCAAGTTTTTAATCAAAGAGAATTGTAAACAAGTAAGGAGAAATAGAAATGACTCTTGAAGTTACTTTTCAAAATATTTTAAAAAAACTTCTTGTGAACATCTTTTTTTGTATGTAGTTAGAGGATCAGCAAAAAAAGTTTTTTTAAAGTTTATTACTTTTTTTTCATTTTGTTGGGCTAGTTATATGTATTTTATTAAATATTTTGTAGACTTTACATATTAATATAATGCTAAAGCTAAATTTTTAACTGACTCATTTGTTTTAATTATTGTTACTTTAATTACAACTTTAGAAGTGATTTATTGCTCCACTAATAGTTCAGATAAATACTCTTCTAACTATTAGTATTACTGCCCGCAGGTCACCACCACAAATTAATTTATGAATCTCTAACAGAAATCAAAACCCTAATTATTTTATTTTATATTCAATTTCTTTCATTAAAATCTGCCTCATATTCTTATCATTTATCTTTCTTCTTTAAGAATTAATAGTTTCTTAATCTTGTCTTGTTTTTTATAACTTTTATACCTGACCTTTTTATTTTATCCTTTCTATTGATTTTTTATAACTATTTTTATTTAATTACCCTTCATATTTTTATTTTAAATCTTCTTTTAGATATAATTACAAACTTTTTCTATATTTTTATAATTTATCTATAAGATTTTTGTTCTATTCTTTTATCACAAAATTTGAGATCAACTATTGCAATAAGCCAGTTACTTTTCATAAGTTTTATACAAAAACTTAGTGTTTTATAACCAATTTTTAAGACTTCTTTTATAAATTTGAAGATTAACTTGTTTAGTTTTTTTATCTTTTCTATATTTTTGATAATTAGTTGTATATTTTTTCTTTTATTTTTTCTTTTTTATCTTGAAAAAGTTTCTTGAATTCCTTCAGTACCTTTTCTAATCCTTTCATCTATACTTTTTGCAATTGTTTTTCATATACTAAGTATTTTAGTTAGTAATTCATCATTTCTACATCTTTATTATATTCTATATATTTCAATTGTATATAAAGATCCAGTTTTCTTATTCTAGTTTTGTCAATATCAATGACTTATTATTTACCAATTTTACAAAAAAGCTTTTTTGTAAGAGTTTTTGAAGAAAATATCATATATATATATATATTTTATTCTATTCCATATAAGGTTTCATGTATATTTATATTGATCTTATATTTAATGACTCCATTTTCTTGAGTTCTATTTTATTGCATCTATTGATAGGAAGTTTTTTTGCCATTTACTTTTTTGATAAATTGTTTTATTAAAACATCTAGTATTATACTTTACTATTTAATTCTGTAATCATTTTAAATGATGTAAATTTTTTCATTCTATTACAAGAAGTTAAAGGGCTTCTTTAGCTATAATATTTATGTTTTTATTGTATTTATTACTGGAGTGAACCTTATCCTTGATTAGTTTTAGATTTAAATATTTTTTCTTTATGAAATCTAGTATTCACATCTATAGAAACCAGTTTTTCTTCAGTTACTTTTTATATATCTTATTAAAATCTTTTTTTTTTTTAGTTTCTTCTATTTAGAAATACAAGTTTAGGTATCTATATAAATATTACAATTGCTATTAATAGGAGTAACTAGCAATATAGTAATTATTGCCATTATTTTTGCTTTTATTAATAATATTCAGTTTTCTTTTTATACCTGAAATTTGTTTTCTTTTCTTGTTTCTCCCATTTGAATCTATGTTATTTTTATTTTTATTTCTTTACTACCATAGTTGATTAGTTATCCATTAAAATAAAAGATTATTATTTTATTTGACATCTAATTTCACTGAAATATTTTCATCAAGTAAAACTAATATACAGTATATCTTTTTTTATATTATCTCTAATAATTTATTTTTCAGCTTTCTATTTCTATATTTACTACTTTGTCAGCTTGAATCTGTTATTAATTATCCTTTATTTCTTTAAATATTTTTTATAGTTGTTTTGTTCCTTGAAATCTTTAATACTTGGGCTCTTCTAATAAATTTTCTAATATTAAAATATGAAACCATATATACTCTATTCCTTTTTTCTATTATTATACAATGACAATTTTTCTTAATATTTTTTGAATATCCAAGGCACTTTATTAAACCTGTTACTTATTAGTATTCTTTGACTACTGAACAGTTGAAATATCCTACTTCTATATTATCTATTATACTTTTTCTTATTAGTTTTTCCTAGATAACACTAGTCGAAAAAAAATTATTCAGCATACTGTTACTCGTGTAACATTCGGCAAAAAATACTACCACTTGTGTAACATTTGGCAAAAAATAAACAATTCGGCAAAAAAAAAATGATATAAATAAATCAGCAACTACAAAAATTGTTAGTCAAAACTATTCATTAAAAATTCATCAAAAATTCATCAACTATTCATCCACTATTCGTCAACTAT